TTGTGGTTAGTCTACCGGACTCATATATCGTGAGGTTGCGGGTTTGGGGATTCGAGTCACTGGCCCAACGTTGTGTCTCATTTTACAAGAGTTTTCCTGACTTCACCCAGGTCGGAGTGGGTACCCGGCCATAGACAGCGAAAGACCTTGTCAGTTAGTGTCGCCCTATAAATGGCCACTTGCACTGTATGCTTTCCAGGAAGTTGAGGTTGTTTCAAAATACTGTCAGGTCTGCTAGGTAATAGTATAGATTGTGAAGCGCATAGAGCTTGCTGTTGAGAGCGGATTTGCGCTATACAAATGCTATTTATTATTATCTGTTATCAAGAATAGAACTCTTGAGGCCATCCATACAGCGCACACCGTGTTAGCTCTTGGTCACTGCTTGTCAACATTTTCATAACCAGCGCCAACTTTGGGCACCTTTAAGAAGCTAACATTTTCTGAACCGCCCACTTAAGTATATAGAAATGTATTAGTACCAATTGCAGTGAGATTACTGAACACACGGTGCTACAAATGACACTGACAGAGAGAGAGAGAGAGAGAGAGAGAGAGAGAGAGAGAGAGAGAGAGAGAGAGAGAGAGAGAGAGAGAGAGAGAGAGAGAGAGAGAGAGAAAGACGTCAAAGATTTTGAGTTTCACATCATGTCAAGCTTTATTGAAGGCAATCTTTTTAGTATTTTGATAACGACTCTGAATAATCTTCCGATTTTGCTGGAGCAAATAGACCATTCCGTTTCTGACCTCATGATCTTAGTTACTCAATACAGCCAAAAATGTCAGATAGTACTTTTGTAATTCTAAGGTAACGAAATTTCTCGATCGACCAGTTCGTTCAAATTATGTCACATTTCAGTCCCAAGCGGGCATTCACAGATGTAGCCTTATAATAGACAGTCGCTATCGTGCTCACATTCTTCCTCTACCGATTAACAAATACCCATTTACAGTAGCCAAACTTGAGGAGTTAAATCTCGCTGCAACATCGTTCATCAAGCTTAGTGGTTGATCTCTTCCCAGTTGTATGATATATGAGGCATCGTGGTGGAATCAGGCTCTCGTCAAAATAATCAAAGTGAAGAAACTGGCATTTTTCTGCAGGTTTGTAAATTTTTATCAATTTTTTTTTTGGGCTCCACACCTTTCATGCCCATTAGAGAACTCATTTCTGTGTGGATTTTTCTTAAAAACGTTGACTAAAGGCACTTTGGCGGCCATTTTCTCACTAATTTTACCTCAGAAAACAGGTGACCCCCCACCTCCTTCATTCGCAAATATCTCGACTTGTATTCAAGATAAATGGATATTTTTTTCATCCAAATAAAGACAAGTGAACAAGTTTTAAGATGATACCAATAACTCTACATGCCCAAAAATTGACGAGAGCCTGATTCCACAACGCTGCCTCACAATTATCATTGTTCTTTGCGTGCGCTCAGTTTGAACGTGAAAGGATAAGACTGGGCCAGAGAAGGCCAGATGGGCACAGCATCAGAAGAGTTAAGTTATTCGCGGCGCTGATCTCCTTCGATTATTGATCCGATCAGCCCGCGCTGCGAACTGCCCTCTTGTTCTCCCAAACAAAGCAAACTCGTATCCTTCTCCGTCCTCCCCC